GCGTAAGCAAAAAGGCGTCGCGCGGCAAAAGAAAGTCCTAATTACAAAATTCCTAAATTCCTAACTAATGCGAAAAAGCAAAAGTACAGGTTCCGGAAGGAAAGTCTGAAATTCCGAGAGCCATCGGGGCTCGACAAAATTCGAAAAAGAATTCAATTTTTTTTCTTCAAAAAGAACGAAGCAAATTCCCGCGCGATGTCCGCGCCCAAAAAGTTTCGAAACTGAACCAGAAAGAAATGACGTCAATATTTCTTAATCGCGCACGTGGCGGCGCGCCAGCCATCCGACCAATCAATCACCCGTCTCGGGACACACCCAACTTCGAACTCAGCCATCCAAAAAGAATCTACGCAAAAGACAAAGAAGCGAGGGTACTGATGCAATTTCCAATCCATCCCAATCTCCCGTAATTGGCCCAACCTTCCCAGCTTAGGACCCCTCATTGCAACCGTGCAGAAAGTCGCGCGCTGCAGAAAGTGGTTCGTCACATATGTGACGCCCAGGGGGTTCCAATATTAGCAAGCTCCTGCTTGCTTGTTGACACGTGTCGATCTCTCTAATCGATCGACACGCGGAGCTCTTCTTTCTATGCCACTTACCGTTCGAAGGAGTGTGGACGCCATTCAATCGTGGCAGCACAACTCTTCTACTAATTCCTCGGGGAGGGCCATCAACAATCCAAGGAGGGGATTACACGTGTCGTTGTCATGACGCGTGCCCATCTGTCATACATGAGTGAGCGCTGGGGAGGGGAAAGGGGAGACGGTACATGGAGGGGTGGCGAGGGGGAGGGTTGATGGGTAGCGGGGGAAGGAAGCTCTCCATTCCGGCCACCGTCTCCGGAAGTTCCTGATAGCGAACGATCCGGTGAAAGCGGGGGAATCCGTTGCCTGTGTGGGGGAGGGACGCGGGGTAGTCGAGGTAGAGGTTGGTAAAGGTTCGGAAGAGGGCCGCTCGAAAGTGATCGTGGTTCTCGCATGCGGGGATAGTCCCCGTAATCATGCAGTATACCTCAATCATATTGTGGCCTCCCCACGCGGCACTAAGGAAAAGGATATGGAGGCAGAAGACAGGGAGGGCACATCGGGTGGAAGGGTGGGGATGAACAGTGACAGCAAGACGGGTAATTTAGAAAAAGCGGAAGGTATCGATGGCCCGACGATGGGGAAGGGATTGTCGGGGAAGGTGACGCGGGCGGTGATCTGGCAGAAAGAGAGGTGATCAAGGGGACGGCGGGATAACAACCGGGGGCGAAGCCCGATGCCCCGCATCGGTACCTGGACGAGCTGGTGGGCGGTCGGCGGTGGAGGGGGAGGGGGATCGGCTTCGTCGCCGTCTCGCTGGTGCGGCCGAAGTCTCGGCAGCTGTCTCTCCATCCTCGGGCTTGGGTGGCTCCGGATCTCGGGCCGGATCGTCGGTGCGCGGCTCACCGGCTGCGCTGGCGATTTCCAACTGTCGCTTCCTGGCCGCGATCTCTTCCCTCTTCTGTGCCTGGGCCTGTGCCCGAGCCTCGTCGCGCACTTCCTCCTCGAATCCTTTGTACTCCGACTCTTCTGACTCTTCCTGGTCTTCTTCTTCTTCGTCGTCGTCTTGCTCTTCTTCCTCCTCCGCTTCACTTTGCTCCCCTTCGTTGTGCTCACTGTAACTTCCTTCCTCGGGAGTTTCTTCCTCGTCGGCCACTTCCTTGACCTCTTCTTCTTCTTCCAAGCTTTCTTCTTCTGCTTCAATTTGTACCTCCTCGTCCTCAGAAGCTGTCCGATCTTGGAAGAAGGCTAGGTCGACTATCTCGTGCGGGTCTAGATGACCTCGCTGTGATGGTGGGTTGCGGCCACTCCCTGGTTCCTCCAAGCACGCCGACCACTTAAGATATGGCGCCAAGGTCCGCGTGAGAACATGAGGGACCGCGCTGTCGTCGCTCTGCAAGACGATCTCAAGAGGGAGATCGTCGGCCAGCTGCGCAAGGGGGACCGTTAACTCTTGTACGATCAGTTGGCGATGATCGGGCCGCACTGATCCGAAGAGGAATCCGAGCAGATCGCCTGCCACTTCCGTTCGCCACACCTGGATGATAAGCAACTCGAGGTACTCAGTCCGCTGGCGGTGATCCCCGTGCCGCGTCCACGTGACCCTTACTCCGACCAGACACACCGACAGCTCTACGAAGTGCTCTCGCCAATGCCTCCACTGTTGGGGATCGAGGAGGGGGACAGCGAGGGATTCTTGACAGAAGGTGCGGATGGACTCCGGATTGCCAAAAAGTGGGAAAGAAGGAGGGGAGGTCGAAAGTGGAGATCGGGGATGGGTTCATTGAGGACGGAGGAAGGGGACGAGTTCCGGGAGCACCACTGTTGGCTCGTGCTGGAAGGTTCGGATCCCGTCGAGGTCGACGCCGTCCGTGGGAAAAAGGTTATCTCCGTGGGGCGTGAGCCAACGATTCCACTCCGCCGCCAACTGCTGCGCCCTGAGCTGGACCGACGTCTTGATGGCTGTATGTCGCAGCGGGCTGATGGTGCTGATGTCGCCACTGAAGGCGACCACCGTAGACACGTGGCTGATCTTGGGAGCCGATCGCCGATGAACTGCTACCGCCTTTGCCAACACAACCGCCCGGGAATTACCTGCAAAGCGAAATTCAGCGGCTGCGTACACTCCCCGACTACAAAAGAATTGCGCAAGTCGTTAAAGGTCCGGACTGAGCCGCGGATGGTGAACTTGTCGGATCGCCGAGATGTGACACCGTGGCACCAGCAGGGGATCGTCGAGAGCTCGCTCTGTAAGAAAACTCATGGCGATGGCGATGGAGACGACGGAAGGAGAACCAGAAGGAGACAGAGAGACAAGCGATAAGCAGTCGTCGTCCTCTTCCGCAGCGGAGGAGGAGTTGGATGAAGACGAAAATGGGGAAGGAGGGAGGGGACGAAGGTAGGACACGTGGCAAATGATCGGACGAGCCGATCGGCTGCCGGAGACCTTGGGCGCAAGCCGTACGGTGTTCACGCCGTTCGGTCCCAGCTCAATCACGTGGAATCGCCCGAAAAATCGTGGCGCTAGCTTGCCCTGGCGAGCACATTTCCTCACCTGCACGATATCCCCCAATTTGTACTGGCGTCGTGGACCTGCGTTTCCGTTCTGGGCCTCGTAGCTTCGGACCTGTCGACCATGGGCCAATTCGGTCATTTTCTGGCGTTTTCGGGCTAGCCTGGGGAGGGACCGTTCCATTAACTCTAAGTGTCGCTTGGCCTTGTCTCGCGGTGTGGTCCTTGTGGGCCGGCAGTTAAACGTTGATTCGTCGGGGAGGCTTGGTATCGAAACGCAAGCGACGCTATTAGTCCTTAATTGGAAGGGGCTCAGGCATGTCGATTCATGGGACGTTCCGCGATGGACCGCTAGGATGTGGTCGATGATATTGGGCCAAGGCCTCGGATCCCGTGTCGCGATGTTTCGTCGCAACGCGTCGTTATCACCCTGTTGGCGTTTTCTACCAGCCCATTGGATTGTGACATATGGGGCGCGGTGTTCCGCACAGCGACACCGTGTATGACCAGGTTCCTCAATACTTCCCCTCTAAATTCTGCCCCGTTATCGGTCAGGATTTCTTCCGTATCCTGGTGCATCCCGAGAAAACGGTTAACATACCGTGCGATTTCGGCGGCTTGTCGCGTGTGACACGGGTAGGCCTCGATCCATTTCGAAAAATGATCGACAAATACCAATAGGACTGAATACTCACAGCTATTAGGACCTGGAGGTACCACAACATCGGTGGTATCCATACTCACCCTCTGGAACGGCCGCTCAACTACCGTTGGAACTATCGATCTCGGCGGCTGCATCGGCGCCTTGTTAGCAGCGCAAACTTGACAGTTTGCGACGATGAATTTCATATTGTCCCGGATATTGGATCAATACCACTCATTTTTGTCGATTGCTGACTCTGTAATCCGTACGGCAAAATGGGCTGCCGTTTCCTCATTTGTCGTCTTCACCCAGTCGTACCTCATGAACGGATGCGGTACAACCATCCAAATCCCACTGCCCTCCGTTTTCCGTTTTTCCAACCTACCCTCTATCCATCGATAATCCCGAGCCCTTTCGTTAGCCCTCCTCCGATCTTCCTTGGTGAAATCCTGGAGGGGGTTACCAACTTAGGTGGCAATCAAAGCGATGTCGGTCCATACTTCGGCCCTTTGAAATTTCCAGGTCTTTTCCAACCCTTCTGACGTGGCATCCAGAAAGCGAGCCTCGGTCGGGATCTTGTCAACCCGACACAAGGGGCATAACCACGGTTTACTGTCGTTTCGGTATTGGATGCACGAGCCATGGGCTCGTGCGACACACTGTCGGCAGTCTATCCATTCCGCATATCCTTCCCTGTTAGGACACATGGAGACAGAGTATACGCGAGAAATTGCTTCGCAAAAATAGCAAAATTTATCAAGAAGGGAGAGAATAGACGAAGAGGAGATGGGAGAAAGAGGGGTAGTGAGGTTACCTCCGTCACCCATTGCCACCAGTCTGCTTCTTGCCTCATGGGAGAGCTGCCACTTGTCCGTACTTAGACCCGTTTGCTGGTTCTGACTCCTTCCACGGAGTGATTTCCTCGCCCTTCAGTACTTTGGCAGGCCGATGCAGACGTGTCAGTCCATGCGCGTTGCCGTGCCTTTCTGTCTTCCGGTGGATGATGTTTAAGTCGTACTCCTGTAGTCGTACCGCCCAACGTCCAATCATGCCCGTGTAATTAGTGAGCTTCTTCAAAGCTAGCAAAGGCTCGTGATCCGTCACAAGGCGGAACTTCTGCCATAGAGATACAAATGGAAATGCTGGATTCTCCTGACTACTGCATAGCATTCGCCTTGGGGTGCTGAGTCATTCCTCCGTTCGTCTGGCACCGTTTGCGACGCGTACTCGATGACATGTTTACGACCATCGTCCCCCTTCCGCACTAGAATAACGGAAATAGCTTCCGGTTGCCAGTCCGTGATAAGAATGAAATGTTTCGAGGGGTCCGGTCGGGTCAAAATAGGTGTCATCGCCAAAGCGTCTTTGAGGGTCGCGAAGGCCTGCTCACACTCCGTGTCCCAACTGAGAGGCTGGTCCTTTCGTAACAGGTTCGTTAGCGCCCGTGCAATCGCGGCGAAGCCTTTGATGAAACGGCGATAGTACATGGCCAACCCCAAGAAGGCTCGAACCTGCGTTAGTGACGTAAGAACCGGGGCTTCTCTCACCGCCACGACCTTTCTCGAGTCAGGCCGCAATCCTCCACGTGTCACGACGTAGCCCAAGAACGAAATTTCCGACAGGTAAAATTCGTTTTTTTCGAGTGCCATCTTGAACCCAGCATCCCTCAGCGCTCCCAACGTCCACTCAATATGTTGTGCATGCCCATGATAGGTCTCCGAGTTGACAAGGATATCATCCATGTATACGATCACGCAGAAGTTGATCATTCCCTGAGTTAGTAGCGTGTTGTTGACGAAGTTCTGGAATGTCATGTTCATCGCTCGCTGAAACGTAGCAGGCGCGTTGCAAATCCCCATCAGACACCAAACCCACTGTCACGTGCCTTCGAACAACACGAAGGTCGTCTGTGGCCGATCTTCCTCCTTAACCAGAATGTGATGTAAGTCATGCCGAATATCAAACTTACTGAAATAATTAAAGCATCCAATCGCATCCAACAAATCATCAATCCGGGGGAGGGGATACACATCTTTAATCGTGATTTCATTCAGTTTGCGATAATCGATGCATATGCGAATTGATCCGTTTTTGTTCGGTACTAGCACTACTGAAAATGACCATGGTCCGGTGGCGGGTTCGATCCACTCGCTTGCTTCGAATTCCCGAATTTGTTCGAGAGCCTTTTTCCGTTCTATCAGGGAATATCAGTAGGGCTTGCAGTGGATTGGGGAATGATTTTTCATCTGAATTTCGTGTTGAATAACCGACGAGAAGCCAATGTCAATATCGGTTACGCTAATCGCTCCCCGATATTCCGTCAAAATATCCGCAATCACCCGGTGAATTTCGTCAGGTACGTACTGTGGGACGTGTAACTCAAATTGTTGGTCCCAGATCCGTACGTCGATCTACTTCGTGCGTGCCTGTTTCGCCACATCGGGTGGTGGCGCACAGATGAACGAATGGTCCGATCGCCAGGAGAACACCGTGGCCATCATCTGGGCGTCTTCCTCCCAGATGGCCACGTGTCCTTCCGGGGTGATCCCATCACAGATATCCTGCCACGGTACAGTTTTAGTTGCAATCTTTACTCCGAGTTCATCTGATTCAGCCTCAAGACGCCCAGGGGGTTCCAAAGAACTGGCTTCCGCCCCCAAGCGTAGCAATCGTACTTTTTTTGCAGGTGTCAGCAGGGACTTTGGTAGATCCGTCATATCGCAGTAGTGTTTCTTGACGTTGTATCGGGCGAGGAGAGGGGAGATTGCTTCGTACAGGGTTTGAGGGGGTTCCAAGGAATCGACCATCCTTGAAATCTGTATGAGGGGTTCACCCAAAATCAGCGCCTTTGTCCTTTGGATGTTCCGACTTGTTACATGCATCGTTCTTACGATCGTTCTGGGCGGCGGGTAATAAATACGCTGCCGCGCTGGCTTTAGGATTTCTGAATCATTTTCGCCACTGCTATCCGCATCCCTCGATGATGGCTCATCGTCTACGGAGTCTTCCCAGGTGATCATACAGAGAGTCCCAACTAACATCGGCGAGACTCGCGGGACAGCGTTGATGGTAGTACGAAGGGTCAGTCTCGTAGGTACAGCATAGGGCTTCCTCCCGTATTTCGGAGGATGATTGACCATCGCTTGAAATCCAGGTTCGCTCGTAATGCCACAAGAGCGGAAAGTCCGAAAAGAACATCGTAGGTATTTATGTCTAATACCACGACGTCACCTAACGCATGCACCTTTGCCAATCGGAAAGCGACATTGGTCATTCTTCCCACCGTTTTGATTTTTTCTTCGTCTGCCGAAAAAAACTGATCCTTCTCTGTAAGCATGATCAGGTCGTTTTTCCTACCTGCTCTCTCAATTACTCTCAGCGAGATGGCCAAAACAACAGCTCCCGAATCAATGATTGCATTGTACGTAATTCCCCATACTTCCATATCGCATTCCGCGGATTTCCACGGGATGGGTTTAATCCGTAGGAAATGGTCGTCTTTTTGTATTAATCCTGCCCGTATTGGATCCGTCGTGCCAACCATTTTGTTCTCGGGCATGGGACTTTTAGCCTTTACGTTCGTGGTTCGGGTGAGGGCGAATCGTTTTCGGTTCGCCTTGCAGTGTTGTAGCATCCGCTCATTAGCCTGTTCGGAGATTGAGAGCAGATGGCCGATCGGAAATGGAATCCAATGATCCAAGGCTCGGATGATGTTCAGCACGTCGATTTCCCTTGTGGCGAAGGTGCGTCCTCCTGACTCCATCTCTCCGGGAGAAGGTCGCCACTCCGCCACTTTTTTCTGTTCCGGCGCCGGTCTGATCGTTCCAATCAATCCAAGCCCAAGATATCCAAGCGATACATACTAATCCAACGGGGTGAGCTCAGCGGCTTCTTCCGTGGTTACCAACGCACTTCCCCCACCTTCCATCTCTTCCATCAGGGCTCCTACCCGTCCAGGTCCGTTAGCGATAGGAGCTGCGGCCATTGGTGCAACTCCGACCCGTTGTTGAGGGGGTCGGTGGGGTAATCACGGGCTAGATGCCCTGGCTGATGGCATGCACAACAAACATTCAGATTGCTTGCGGCTCCTCCGAGAACAGGCGCCTGCACCAATCCTTGTTCAATCGGATGGGCACGCACCGCGATGGGCCGCATGTTTCTCATCATGGCTTCTAACCGAGCATTGTGCTCTCGCTGTTCCTTTTTGCTCTCCTGGATTAGGCTAATTAACGTTTTGGTTAGTTCGAAAATGGCAGTAGATTCATTTGTTCTTACAGGATTCTCAATTGGTGGCGGGGGTGCTGTTCTTACAGGTGTTGGCATCACAGGAACAGGGACACTCGGGATCTCACTTGGGGTCGGTCGTATAGGGCCCACCTGTTCTAGATAGGTGACTGGGCCAGACACAAATCCCATATTTTCGAACTTGTTCTGTAATGCGGCCAGCTCAGCTCTCGCCCTCGCAAGTTCGGTCGAATCTCCTTCCCTAGAATAGTCTTCTCCTTCCAGGAAGTTTGCCGTGAACTTCCGTTCTATCTCTTCTGCAGCGGCCATGATCTGTTGCAGCGTGTGATTGATGGGGGGAAATTGATTTCGCAGCTTCGCCCTTATCGTTCGGCTGCGAAGGCCATCAATAAACAAATCTCTCCCGACTTGCTCGCCTCGCTCAGTCTTCACAAACATTCGGTAGAACCGATTTCGGTATTCTGCGACAGACTCGAGAGGTTTTTGCACTCGGTCCTTGATCATGTAAAGTGCTTGCTCTGGATGGACATAATCAAATCGATTCAGAAAATCCTGTTCGAAGGTCAGAAGATCAACCCATACATAGGTACTAAACCAATCATGAGCGTCTTCTCCTAATCGAGCAGGAATGTTTACCTGCGCTTCGTTATCATCATACTGCTGTGCTCGGAGCGTGGCCAACCATGCTCCTGCGAGATGATGTGCTGGGTCGGATAGATAAAGATCAGGTGGCGTCATGGGAGCCCATGCTCGTGGGGCGGTTTGATTAGGATTTGGCTGATTAGCATTTTGTTGCAGATTCGGGTTCTGTACATTCGCATTCATGTTGGTTGCCCGTCGATTAGCGGATCTGCTTCAGGTGATGACGGGGTCGCGTCTATGCGCGTTCCTGGGTCGAGGCCATCCTCGGTTAGCCAGATCGCCCAATTAGCGTGTTATTGATCCTAAGACTCGGCTACGTGTCGGGCTCCGATACCAACCTCACGCCCAGCGCGACTTCCTGATCGGAGTAGGGTGTGGGCCTGGAAGTGCGAAAAAGGGGTGTGCCAAGGATTTTTGGGAAAGTGAGGGTGGAGTCCCAGGTCATAAGTGAGATCTCCTGTGGCAGAGTCTTTCGGGGGCACGAGTGCAATTTGGCGGAGAGGGCGGACCACCTCTGGTCATAAGGCAGATGGTATGCGCGGGTCACTCAAGGTCGGGCGAGCCATTGGTTCCAAGGGCGGCGGTTCACCGGAAAGTCCCTTCGGGGTGGGTGGGGTTCCAATGCGTCTGGCCGTCGGAAGTTGCCACTTGGCGTCGGATGTCACGCGTTCGAATTAGGCCTTCGAGATTCGGGGGGCCGCTGATCGCCGCGCCATCGACAATTTCCACAAGGCGTGCTGGGCCATTAGGGGGCTATGGCCTTCCACGGGATGACGCGGAGTTGGTGATACGGAAGAAGAAGCCGGAAGGGAGGGAAACTGGTGGAGATAACGACAATTCCAGGGTGGGTGAAGTAGTGGGTGTGGTTCTGAGAGGGGAAATCAGAGCACCGAGTGTCGCTGGTGGTGGTGCAATGAAACTCCCTAGGACACAGTCGATTTTCTTTCAGGCAAGGGTATCTCTGCCGGAGGCTTTCCGCTATCCACGAGGTGAAATAGTCCGGGTCGTACAACAACGACTCCGAGTTCTCTGAGCGTGTCTTTATGCCATTGCATTGCTACGAGACGCCTAAGGGCGGGTCTGTGCCGATTGCGATCACCGCGTGTGAGCACGTGCAGGCTTGCACGAATCAAGTCGCGCTTACACGTGTTCGCCTGGGATGATTGCTCCGTCGCAGGCCCTAGATGGTCGTATCCAATCAGACAGTATATCTGCCACCTGTATTGACGAATCGACACACGGGGGCACGTGTAAATGCGCAGATCAAGTCGCGTTTACACTCGTCCTCGCGTGGCGTTAGCTTGGCCGGACATCCGACTGTCTAATCACTTCGTAATTTTTGAGTATGTAATATGCAACAGACACGACCGTCCAATCAAAAGATGAGCAAAAACGAGAACGGGATTACCGATTGCACAAAATTCCTACTCATGAGTGCATCAAAAGCAACAAATAAAGGCAAAGGCAAGGATCCGGTAGAAAGACAAGCAACCAAACATGGCATCCATACATCCATTCATTCAGCAACATACACCCACAAAGCATCTGAGATGGAAATCGCGAAGACAAGTGTGAGCAAAAACCCAAGTCCAGATTCTGAAAAACAGAGAACGGGCGGATCGCTCGGAGCCGAAATCAAAATTTATATACACGAGACAAGAGGGAGAAAAGATAAAAGAAACAGCAAATCCGCGTCCATCGACCTCAACTCCCTCTTCCTCTCTCTCTCTCTCTCTCATGCGGGCAGTCTGTTGTCGCGCACGAACCCACGAAGCTGTCATCCCGCTTAGTCCTCCTGCACCCATCAGGTTCGCCCGCGCCCATAGTCCGTCGTGGCCCGCGTCAACCCCACGCGTTTGGCACCAGCCCGTCGGGTCGCCTGACTCCTGCTCTACTCACCTCTTACTTCGCTCGTGTGCCGACCCTCTCTGATCGCGCAACCCCGAGCTTCCAACATCTGGTTAAGAGAGCTAACTAATCGCGAAGCCAGAATTTATAGCGTGCATGCTTGCGCGAAGAACACGGAATTATAAGGATTTGGGAAAGAGGATTAGAGAGGGAGCGCCTGCGTTTTGCATGACCAGGCCGCCGCGTGGGGGACGTAGCCACTCTCCACGCATCGATCCGAGCATGCAGACCGTGGCTACAAAAACGCAGCAAAAGAAAGAGGAGGAGGGCGGAAAAGACGAAGCGCAAGAAGAAAGATACAGTCACAATGGCGCCAACCCAAAATTATAGTTACACACCCGATTAAAGGCGCCAACTAATCAGAATTCCGTTGCAGCCGCATAAAGAAGCGCGTAAGCAAAAAGGCGTCGCGCGGCAAAAGAAAGTCCTAATTACAAAATTCCTAAATTCCTAACTAATGCGAAAAAGCAAAAGTACAGGTTCCGAAAGGATAGTCCGAAATTCCGAGAGCCATCGGGGCTCGACAAAATTCGAAAAAGAATGCAAAAAAAAAAAAAAAAAGAACGAAACAAATTCCTGCGCGATGTCCGCGCCCAAAAAGTTTCGAAACCGAACCAGAAAGAAATGACGTCAAAATTTATTAATCGCGCGCCTGGCGGCACGCCAGCCATCCTACCAATCAATCACCCGTCCCGGGACACACCTAGCTCCGAACTCAACCATCCAAAAAGAATCGACACAAAAGACGAAAAAGCGGGGGTACAGATGCAATTTCCCATCCATCCCATTCTCCCGTAATGGGCCCAACCTTCCCAACTTAGGACCCCTCATTGCAACCGCGCAGAAAGTCGCGCGCTACAGAAAGTGGTTCGTCACACTATGTGTGGAAACTTGTGTATGTAGCCCGTGGGCCATGTATAATTCGCAAGCTATGCATATGCCCGAAGGATGTGTATGCTCTGTGAATCAATGTATCAATATGTATACGCAGCATCATGTGACACTGTGTATATTGAAGAGAGAACGGGGTAAGCTGGACAGGGACCCCCCCAAGGTCCAAACCAAGCTCGAACCCGTAACCTTGTAGCATGTAATCGTATGATTCTACCATGTGAACGACTAGTGGAAATGGCATGAACATGTGATATGCCAGACAGGGGAGATCAACAGAACATCCAAGACCAACACCCCGAAGCAACCCATGTGAAACCCAGAACCAACATACAACACCCTAAACAACCCTTGGGTGGTGCACAGGCAGTGTCTGTAATAGTTCCATGCATCAGCCCAAGGGAGTGTATGTCCGACCGTGCTTCAATCTAACGCCCTGCTGGTGTCCATGCGCAAGGTTGCAATTGAGTTTTTGAACCCGCAACCTCATACCACAATGCACATTTCCAACCGGTGCTCTAACCACTGAGCCACATCAACTGGTTATCTTAAACTTTACCTTGTACTGCTTCTGTGGTCTTCCCTTGCCACTTGTGGAAAAATATCCATGTTCCAGTATTCGTTCAACTTTATAACCTTCATTCATAAAGAGAGGAAACATGAATGGCCGATTTCGGAACTCGTGGCCTTCAACATATGGTAGCAGTTTGAAAGCATGAAAGATAGGGGATGTCTTAACGTAAGGGGGTACGTCAATTCGATATGACAGGCCATTTGTGTCCCCTATCACCTTGATAACTTCCTAGGGTCCGTTGTTGAGAGGTAGCAGTTTATGAGACACATTTTCTTCGAGGGAAAACCTTTTAGACTTTACCCAAACCAAATCTCCTTCTTTGAACTGAGATGGTCGACAATGCTTATTTGCTTGCTGCGTTACCGCGCGCTGATTGAACGAGGGGTTGACGCTCAAATTTCTGAGCTCCACTCAATCCCTCGCTCAAAGGCAGTGTCGTTTCTTGTACATCGTACGTGGGGTCTTTGTACGGCCCGTGTGTATGGACGGACGCACGGTCGTACGAGCGTACGGATGGTCTCCGTCCGAACGTGCCAGGATCCGGTGTGGAAGGGAGGGGGCGGGGTTTGACCCCCGGGGGTGGTAGGGGGGGTCTCGAGCTTCACGTTAGTACTTTATTTTTTAATTTAAGAAAAATTTTTGTGGTCGAAAAAGGAGAAAAAAAAAAAGCAAACTCGAATGAATCTATCGCTAGAACATGGAAATATACCTTGTCACACTTGTTTTTGTTTGTGTGTACGTGTATGTGTATGTGTGTGTGTGTGTACGTGTATGTGTATGTGTGTGTGTGTGT